TCGCCGCCCCCGATCGTCGTCCGCGAGGAGGACCAGAAGGCGGAGGCCGCCTACCAGGCGGCCCTTGCGGCGGTCTACCTTGAGAGCGAGGAGGACGAGCGGCGCATGGCGGCGGTGACCGAGGAGGAGGAGGCCGCGTACGAGGCGGCCATGGCGCAGGCCATGGCGCCCTCCGCGGCGGGCGACTGCGTCCTGCCACCAGTGGCCCCATCGTCCCCTATCAAAGCCGAGCCGGAGCCAGAGTCGGAGCCGTCCCCCATTGATCGCTACTCTTGGACGGGAGTAGTACGCGAGTGGGTCAGCCGCCGCCGGTCTAGTTGGGGGCGACGCGGGCGCAGGAGGCGGTGGACCTCGAACAGTGGCGCCAGCGACGGCTGGCCCAGGAGTGCCGCCACGACGAATACCTCGAGATGCTCGAGCCCGACGTTGAGGACGAGCAGCGCGAGACCGAGGAGGAGGCGCGCCAGGAGCCGGGCAAACTTTATTTTAAATATGTATATATTCTTTTTTCTCACGTCGTTAAAATGAGTCGGGCCAGCGTTGGACGCATGCGCCGACCCAAACGCGAAAACGGACATTTGTGTCCGCTTGGCCAACTCAAACGGACAAAATCACCATCCATTTGGATCAGTCTGTTGGAGTTGCTGTAAAGAAAGCTGGTAGCCTTAGATACGAGATCGAGAATGAAACAGTATGGACGCTTGTGGTAGGGATTTATTTTTCAAAACTATCACATTTTTAATAGCAAATTCGAAAACTATAGCATCCAATGCCAAAAAAATCAAAACTAGCACCCCGTCGGACACCTGTGGGCCGAAAAGGTAGTTTTCGTCCTCCTCTTGGCCGAAAAGGACTTTTCGGCCGTGCCTTGTCTGAAAAGGTGCTTACCTGGCCGAAAAGACCTTTTTGAATAGCAGTAGGCCGAAAAGTCCTTTTTGGTCAGCAGTAGGCCGAAAAGTCCTTTTTGGTCAGCAGTAGACCGAAAAGTCCCTTAGGCCCACCTTTTCATGTTAATGGTTGGCCGAAGTTGCATGGTTCCACTCTTCGGCTTACGGTAGGCCGAAATGTTTTTTTATTTTGGCTTATAAATACTATGCAACCATTGCCCATCTTAGACATTGAAAAAAAATCGTGCAACCCTTTCCCCTCAATATTTTCCCGCCAACTCTTTCCCTCCATATATTCCCACCAACCCCTTCCCGCCACCCGTTTCCCGTCAACTTCGGCCAACTTCAATAGGATATCATCTTCGTCCTCGCTGTCGTCAGTCCATAAAAATGGATGCTTTGTTGCAGTCCTTCTGAAAGTTTTACTCTTCGGCTCCACTATCTTCTTCCACCTTTCATGCAACCTAAGAAGTTCTTTATGTACCTCCTCATAGGTCCTTTCAGGCCACCCAGACCTACGTAATTCGTGAGCCAACTCATTCATTATGGTGTCACTACCGGTGAGTTCGTCCCATGGAATTAACCTATTGTCCATCCTGAAATCGGTGGCTAGCCTCAGAAGACATCTGCTCATCCCAGGGTGAAAACTACGATCGAAAGGATAATGGGACATCTCGACTACACTATATTGGACCGCTTATCCACCTCCGTGTGAATGAGGTTTTATAGGTAGAGAGGAGAAAATGGCGGGAAAGAACGACTGCGGTATGGCGGGAAAGGGTTGGCGGGAACATATGGCGGGAATGCGTTGGCGGGAACGGGTGGCGGGAACATATGGAGGGAAACAGTTGGCGGGAAAATATTGAGGGGAAAGGGTCGCGCGATTTTTTTTTCAATGTTTAAGATGGGCAATGGTTGCATAGTATTTATATGCCAAAATAAAAAAAATACATTTCGGCCTAACGTAAGCCGAAGAGTGGAACCATGCAACTTCGGCCACCCGTTAACGTGAAAAGGTGGGCCCAAGGGATTTTTCGGCCTACTCCTGACCAAAAAGGACTTTTCGGCCTACCGCTGACCAAAAAGGTCTTTTCGGCCTAGGTACTCACCTCTTCGGCCAAGGCACGGCTGAAAAGTCCTTTTCGGCCAAGGTGAGGCTGAAACACCCTTTTCGACCCACGCGTGGCCGACGGGGTGCTAGTTTTGATTTTTCTCCACTGCATGCTATAGTTTCCGAATTTGCTATAAAATACGTCATAGTTTTGAAAAAAATCTGTGGTATGGATGTCCGGACTGGCTACGGTGCAACGGCCGAGGTGCACTGTGGACGGATTGTTTGTATAAGGATTCAAACCCCTTTTGCTGATATAAAAAAACAAACTTTTTTGCATTGTACTTCGTATATGAGAAATTCTGAGAAGGAAAATTCTTTTGATGGCATCACAATGATTGGCTCTTGTCGTCCGTCTGAATGCTAGTTGCGGATGGTTCCTTTTCTAGCTGTCATGAATGTGTATCATTGTTCTTTGTGATATGACAAATTCATTTGTATTTCCGTTTGGAAAAGTCCCCTTTCACAGAAAGTGCTAGCCTCATATGTCTTCGCTTCTCAAAATCAAGGGAGACACGTCTCTAAAAAGCATCTCTAGCATCTAGCGCATCAACAAAAGTTATATTTGGACCAAAAAAGATTCTTTTTTATGGATTAACACCTATTTAGGAGATCTATCAAACCAATAATTTCTTAAAACTGTATAACTTTCCGTCCCTTAGAATGCAATTGTCTTGTCTATTTATACTCCAAAGGCGCAACTTCTTAGTAATTCAGTCGGTCGCTCGACATTTCTATCGGCACTGACTCGCCGCCCCGTAGCCAACCCCCGTCATCAGAACTATTCCATGCAACCACCTAGGGCTGGAATTGGAGCCGAGTCGAGCCAGCTCGGCTCGACTCGCTAGAGCTCGTTTCGTTAACGAGTTAGCTCGACTCAGCTTGTTATTATAACGAGCTCAAATGTAAGATTGGCTCGACTCGTATAACTCGCGAGCTGGCTCGTTTAGCTTGTTAAGGTCGTTAAAGATATGAACATAAAACCCTTAAATATTATAAAAATGATTATGTATATATTAAACATATATATCACTAACAATAGTAATTTCCTTGTAACGCATGAGTCTCCTAGACGGTTGGCCTTCAACGGCTAGGCCTTATGTTGTGCGCTTAGGACATAAGGTGCTGAGTGGCTGATCTTTTTTTTTGTATTGGGAGTGGCTGATCTTTTATACCGAGCCTAACGAATTACACGAGTACTCGTGAAATTGACTCGTTTAACTTGGTCTATAAACGATCTTAAACTAAAGCTTGGCTCGACTCGTTATTCTTCGAGTTCGAGTCGATTCGAACCGAGTCACGAGCTACTCGTTTAGCTCACGAGCTTCGAGCTTTTTTTCCAGCCCTACAACCACCTTGCAGCTCTGCTACCCTATCCCGCACCTTTCTCGCTCGCTGACGCTGAAATCCGCTTTTTCGCTGCCGACGAGGCTGTGATCGTGTAGCTCTATGCAATGGCTGCCGAGGCCCATTTTCATCGGGAATCGATCCGTCTGGCCTTCGAGATGGCGTACGAAGGTCAAGCGCAACACCTAGACGGCCCGCGGCATCAGAATCGCCGAACAAGGCCGCCATCGCCGTCGTGTCACCTAGCAGTGTGTTTTGGGTCAAAGCATTTTCCCCTTATACTTTTGATTATATGTGCTTGTTTTGGTTAATGGAATTAGTACTCACTCCGATCTAAATTAATTGACGCACACTTAGTAGTACAATTTAGTACAATTTATACTAAAGTTGTACTACTCACATCCATATTAATTGACATACAATTAGTACAATTCTAGTCACCTCCTTCCCCAAACAAATCTAGGGTTCCTCTACCTCCCGCCGCCGCCGGCGGCGGTTCACCTCATCTCCGGCGGCCTTAGGGCCATGGCTGTGTGGTGGATCCTGGCCCTTAATGGCGGGAGAGCTTCGCTTTTAGATGTTTCTTCGAGTTTTGTTAGGGTTTGTGTCCTACTTAGGAAGACAAGACGGTGGCGACTACCTGAAAATGGAATACGGAATTTTTTTTGGCCACATAAAGTCGCAGTTGCTCGACCTACTGAATCTTGGCAACCTCATTGCTGATGATGGGAAAACTGAATACCGATGGCTTAGTTTCCGATGAGGGCTCTGCCGAAGCGGGTATGGTGCTCAGGGACAGCATGGGCTATATTGTTTTCTCGGCATGTAGGAAATTGTCCACGTAGAGATGCTCTTGAAGTGGAGTTGTATGCATGCATGGGAGGGTGTCTCATTTTTTTTGCAGAAAAGTGATCTTCCTATAATGATGGATTCAAGTGTGGCAGTAAAGCTTATTCAAGCCAAAGAAATTGATAGATCAGTTTATCGTTCTCTAGTTATAGAAATTAGATATCTTTTGAGTCCTCATGAATCTTGTATTACTCATATTTCTCGATCCCAAAATAGGGTTAATGCCAGTTTAACAGTTTTTGTTCTTACCAAAGGAGAAGCGTGACATGGTTAGGTTCTGGTCCTGAGTACGTAAACTATCCAACTAGCTGCTGATGATGGTAACTCTATGAGTTGAGTAATGCAAGTTTTTCATCCAAAAGAAAGATTGTAAGTAACAACAACAACAACAACAAAGCCTTTAGTCCCAAACAAGTTGGGGTAGGCTAGAGGTGAAACCCATAAGATCTCGCAACCAACTCATGGCTCTGGCACATGGATAGCAAGCTTCCACGCACCCCTGTCCATAGCTAGCTCTTTGTCCCAAAAGAAAGATTGTAAGTATTTCGAAAAAAAGAAAGCTTTGAGAAAACAATATATATTTATTTTTTACAGAAAAAGAGTCC